GTGCTTCTGCCTTGGCGGCTCTACGCCGCCAGGACGCCGATGGCTTCGGTGCAGGATGCAGAGGGCCTGCTGCTGACGGCGCGGTGGTTTTGCTCCTCCGAGGGCCACGGTCGCCGGGTTACCCCTCGTGCCGCGAGGAAATCACGAGGTGAGGTTTTCGGCATTGTTGTTTGCACTTGAACACAGAACGAGCGTTGTGTGGTCTCCAACCCACCCGCCCACCCAGTAGATAACAGAACGCCCGCCGCCCCACCCAATGCCGTTGCAGCAGCCCGTGCTGCTTAGCGCGCAGTTTTGCTGTTCGTGATGCGCGCGCAACGTGTCTGCAGTGGGCGCACGCACGTGCTCGTGGTATGCAGAGGCGCTTGGCGCTCGCAGGCTTTTGTGGCACCCGCACGGGCGCGGCGGCGCACTCACACTGGAGGAGACAAGCAGCTCGAGGTGCACAGCGCAAGCGTCGGTTGCGGCGGCAGTTGTGGTGCACGGAGGCATGGTGGTGCTTAGCATTGCGGTCTACTGGTGCTGATGTGCGCACAGGCGACGGGGGTAGTAAGGGCCGTGACCGTGGTCAGAAAGCAACAATACATACACACAGTTCTCACTTTGCACTTGATACGTTCGGGCCGCCATGGCTTGTTGGAGCTTGACACCGCGGGGCACTTGGAGGTGTACACGGGTTGTGGGGTGTACTCGTGCATTGTGATGTACATGTTGGCGGCGTACACTGGTAAGGGTGCATTCCTACGAAGGCACAGGGTTGCGCAGAGTTTTTTGTTCGTGGGCTGGTACGTGACGAGCGTTATTCCAGTAATTGGTGCGCCGCAAATTCTTGGAGCACTTCCTGTACTGCCACCGCTCCGACCACAGCGAAGTGACCACCTTGTGACCCCGCAGTGACCAGTTCATTTGGACGATTTACGGCCGGCGCCGCCGACCTTGGGCACAAGGAGGACGGGGGCGGGAATGGGGAGGTGGAGGAGAAGGGATAGGAGGATGAGGAGGAGGAAGACGAGGAGGAGGAGGAGGAGGAGGAGGAGGAGGGACGAGGAGGAAAAGGACGAGGAGGAGGAGGAATCGAAGAGGAGGAGGAGAAGGAGGAGAAGGAGGACGAGGAGGAGGAGGAGGAGGAAGATGAGGAGGAAGGGAAAATGAAAGCGAGGAGGAGGAGGAGGACGAAGACGAGGACGAGGACGAGGACGTGGACGTGGATGAGGAGGACGAGAAGGGTCGTGACAGTCACATGCGGGGGGCAACTACAGGAAGGGAGGAATTTGAGTCTCACGGTGCCCTCATCGTCGCGCTCTTGGGTTTATCTGGGACCTCTGAAAGGGTTGTTGGGGGCGCCCATTGGGGCCCCCGGGGGCGCTTTGGGGCGGGCGGCTCGAACTGTCGGTTGGTGGCCCCTCTCTTGGGAGACCCTTGGGCAGTTCTGGGCGTTTTTTGAGGCCGCCTTCGGAACCCTTTCGGGGGCCTCTTTAGCCAGGGCCTTTTCGAACGAAACCGCGGCACAAGCGAACTCGGAGCGCCAAGAGGCCCGCCTTTTGGAAGGATCGTCGTCGCCGCGGCCGCACGCAACTCGAACAACTTGCCAGAGTGGTATCCAGGTGGCCACGCAAATAACCGTACAAAATCTTGAAGATTCAATTTGATACGTTCGCGCCCCCGCACCCACCCACGAACGCGACGTTCGGTTTCTGGGCCACGTCGGGACCCTCGAAGCGTACGCGGGCCGTGGGGAGTACATATACAATATGGTGCACGTGGGCGCCAGGCGCCGCGCTGCGCGCGGCTGCTGTGGTGCGCGCGCGGATTGTGTTGTAAACAGGCGTTGTAGTGCACGCGGAACGTGCGTGTGTGGCCGCAGCCTTGTTGTGCAAAGGCGTTGCGGCGTGCGCGTTCGCAGTTGTGTACACAGGCGATGTGGTGCACAGGAGCACGGCCATGTACCCATTCGTTGTGATGTACACAGGCGGTCCGGTGCATGCGTAGGTTGCTGCATCAACATGCGTAGTGAGAGCGGGCATTGCGGTGTCACCGCGTCTTGTGGCGATCGCAGTTGCAACGCCATTTCGCTACACTAGCATCAGCAATAGCAGCAGGGACAGTACTACCAGAAAACAAATCGAGCGGCAAGGCACGACTTTTGTTATGTCATGTGCTAGCGAATTCGCCCACACACCCAGCGACATAACGTCCGGTACGTGGTTACAAACAATGAGTTCCTGCCAGTCCGGGGCCTCTGGGAGCCTGCCTGGGCCCAAACATGTGGGCAAATGTATATCCACGTTCGGTGCGTTTTGGACGTCGTTGGGAAGGGCGCCGCAAGCCCGATGCGCCCTGGATAGCCCCGAAGGCTTTTCTCGTTTGGTCCCCTCCCGTCTTCACTCGGCGGTGAATAGGACTGGCCCTGAAACCTCCTCATCCTCCTCTTCCTCCTCCTCCCCCCTCTCCCCATCCTCGTTTGACTCCTCGTTTTCGTCCTCCGGCTCCTCCTCCTCCT